ATTCTCTTCTTATTGGCTGACTAGTATTCCATTGTATAAATGTCCCATAGTTGTTTTATCCACTCATCTACTGATAGACACTTGGGCTGCTTCCATATCTTGGCGACAGTAAATAATGCTGCAATAAACATACAGGTGCTTATGTTCTTTTGAATTAGTGTTTTTGGTTCCTTTGGATATATTCCCAGAAGTGGGAAAGCTGGGTCGAAAGGCAGATCCATTTTTAATTTTTTTAAGCTAGTGTTTTTTCTTTTTTTATATATATTTTATTTATTTATTTATTTTTAGAGAGATGGGGAAGGGAGGGAGAAAAAGAGGGAGTGAAACATCAAAGTATGGTTGCCTCTAGCACACCCCATACTGGGGATATGGCCTGCAACCCAGGCATGTGCCCTGACTTGGAATCAAACTGGCAATACTTTGGTTTGCAGGCCTGTGCTCAATCCACTGAGCTACACCAGCCAGGGCCTCCATTTTTAATTTTTTAAGGTATCTCCATATTGCTTTCCACAGTGGCTACACCAATCTGCATTCCCACCAACAGTACAAAAGGGTTCTGCTTTCTCCACATCCTGGCCATCACTTGTTATTTATCAATTTATTGATGCTAGCCATTTTTAATTGGGTTGTTTGCTTTTTTGTTGTTGAGTTTTGTGAGTTCTTTGTAAATTTTTTATATTAACCCCTTATCAGATGCATCAGCGAATATGTTCTCCCATTCTGTGGGTTTTCTTTTTATTTTGTTGATGTTTTTCTTTGCTGTGTAAAAACTATATAGTTTGCTGTAGTCCCATTTGTTTATTTTTTTTCTTTTGTTTCCCTTGCCTGAAGAGATATAACCACTAACAAATGGCTTCGAGTAATGTCCCAGATTTTGTGGTCTTTATTTTCTTCTACAACTTTTATGGTTTGGGTTCTAACATTTAAGTCTTCAATCCATTTTGAATTTCTTCTTGTATGTGGTATAAGAAGGTGGTCTACTTTCATTTTTCTGCATGTATCTGTCCAGTTCTCCCAACACTGTTTATGGACTAAATTATCTTTAGCCCATTGTATGTGCTTGCTTCCTCTGTCAAATATTAATTGACTATAAAGATGTGGCCTTATAATTGATTACTATGGCCTTATTGTATAGTTTGATATTAGGTACCATTATTTCTCCAACTTTGTTCTTCTTTCTCAGAATCACTGTTGCTATGCAGGGCCTTTTGTGGTTCCATATAAATTTTTGAAATATTTGTTCTAGTTTTGTGAAATGTGTCATTGGAATCTTGATAGGAATTGCTTTGAATCTATAGATTGCTCTGGGTAGTATGGACATTTTAATGATGTTAATTCTTCCTATCCATGAATGATGTTAATTCTTCCTATCCATGAATATCCATTAAAAATATACATTTTAATGATGTTAATTCTTCCTATCCATGAATATAGTATCCATGAATATAGCTTTGAATCTATAGATTGCTCTGGGTAGTATGGACATTTTAATGATGTTAATTCTTCCTATCCATGAATATAGTATGTGTTTCCACTTGTTTGTATCTTCTTCAATTTCTTTCTTCAGTGCTTTATAATTTTCCAAGTACAGTTCGTTCACATCCTTGGTTAGGTAAATTCCTAGGTATTTTACTCTTTTTGTAGCAATTGCAAATGGGACGATTTTCCAATTTCCCTTTCTGTTAGTTCATTACTGGCATGTAAAAAATGCAACTGATTTCTGGATATTAATTTTTCATCCTGCTAATTGCTAAATTCATTTATCAATTCTAGTAGTTTCTTGGTGGAATCTTTGGGATTCTCTATATACAGTATCACATCATCTGTAAATAAAGATAGGTTTACTTCTTTTCCAATTTGAATGCTTTTAATTTCTTCTTCTGTCTGATTCCTGTGGCTAGGACTTCCAGTACTACATTGAATAAGAGAAGTGAAAGTGGACATCCTTGTCTTGTTCCCTTAAAGGGAAAGCTTGTAGTTTTTGTCTGTTGAGTATGATGCTGGCAGTGGGTATGTCATATATAGCCTGTATTATGTTTACATATATTCCCTCTAGTTTCACTTTACTGAGAGTTTTTATAATAAATGGGTGCTGGATTTTATCAAATCCTTCTTCTGCATCTATTGATATGATAATGTGTTTTTTATCCTTCATTTTGTTTATGTGATGGATCGCATTTATTGATTTGCAAATGTTGTACAAATCTTGCATTCCCAGAACAAATCCCACTTGATCATGGGGTATGGTCTTCTGGTGTATTGCTGTATTTGGTTTGCTAATATTTTGTTGAGAATTTTAACATCTATGTTCATTGGGGATATTGTCTTATAAATTTTTTGTAGTTTCTTTATGTGGTTTTGGAATTAGGATAACGCTGGCCTCGTAAAATGAGTTGGGAGCCTTCCCTTCTCTTGAATTTTATGAAATAGTTTGAGAAGAAGAGTTAGTTCGTCTTGGAATGTTTGGTAAAATTCATCTGTGAAGCTATCTGGTCCAGGGCTTTTGTTTGTTGGTAATTTTTTTATTACTGCTTCAGTTTTATTAAGTATAATCTGTCTATTCAGATTCTCTGATTCTTCCGGTTTTATTTTTGGACGACTGTATGTTTCTAGAAACTTACTCATTTTGTCCAGGATGTCCAGTGTGTTGCCATATAATTGTTAAAATATTTTCTTACAATCCCTTGTATTTCTTTGGTGTCAGTTGTCACTTTCTCTTTCATTTCTGATTTTATTTATTTGGGTCCTCTCTCTTTTTTTCTTGATGAGTCCAGTTAAAATTTTGTCAATCTTGTCTATCTTTTCAAAGAAACTGCTCTTGGATTCATTGATGTTTTGTAACATTTTTTAGACAGTATTTCATGTATTTATTCTTTGATCTTTATTATTTCCTTCCTTCTCCTCACTTTGGGCTTTGCGTGTTTTTCTTTTTCAAAAACTCTTAAGTATAAAGTTAGATTGTTTATTCAAACTTTTCTCTTTTTTACTCTCAAGTCTCTCTCTTTTTTCATATGCATCATTTCTAGATTTCTGTCTTTCATGTCACCAATTCTTTTCTCCATCTGGCCAGCTCTGTTTCCTAAGCTTCCTAGTTCATTCATCATCTCTTTTATTGTGTTTTTCTTCTCTAGAATTTCTATTTGGTTCTTTTTTAAAGTTTTAATCTCTCTGGTCAAGTGCTCCTGTTGTTTATTGGTCTTATTTCTCAGTTCATTACAATCCCTATCTGTGTTTTTGTGTATCATTTTGAGTTTTTTCAGAATTGTAATCTTCAATACTATGTCATTTTAAATCACACATTTCTGTCTTTAAGTTTTTTTCTCTCGAGATTTTTCACTTTTTTTCTGAGCTGCCTCATTATCTTGGTTATTTTAGGTATTTGATGGACTCCTTCTCTGTCTAGGCATCTATGACAGTTGGATCATTAAGAGTGGCATTCCCTGTAGGTTGATAAGAAGTCTTTCTTTTGTTTTCCAGCTGGTGGCACTGAAGCACAGGTTTCTTAGTTTCTCTAGCATTGGTCTGCTTTCTAGAATCTCTGAGGGAGGTAGAAAATGCCCTTTATATTCTCATGTGATGGCATCTCCTTTGTGACCCAATGGCCTTGGTGTCAGAGCACCACCCCTATGGGGAAATGTGCTGGGCATTGGAGTTCCAAGCTGTCCCCTGCAACCAGATTCTGCTGGAAACACAACTACAATGATTGGAAGTGGAGTAAGCTGGAAGAGGTCAGCTGGTACATTTGCACCTTTGTCTTTTCCCAGCAATGGCAATTTGCATAAGCCAGACACCTCACCTTTGTATCTCCATCCTGCCACAGGGATCAGCAGCAGCATGCACCCACCATTCAGGGGAAAAATGCATCCATGGTTCCAGTACTCAGTGTTTCAGATAATGTGTTCTGTAGCCCTGCCTTCACCACTACAGCTTGTTCTGGGGCCCACTGCAAGCTCTGAGGGAGTGAAAAGGAGTGAGCTCTGGGAGGATGAAGGAAGGTGGCTAGGCTTCTTGGCTTTGTTTTTCTGTCTGGCAATAGCAGCTGCCAGACCACCACAGCCACTCCTCTATACTCAGTTTCTGCCTTGGTCACTGGGTTCAGCTAGAGCACACACCAGAGTTCATGGTATCTCCTTGCTTCTCTAGGCTCAGGGAGTGCAAAACAAGCAGGCTCCTCCCCTCTCCCAAGACCCACAGTGGGCTCCAGGCTGTTTCTATCTGTGGCATCATCTTGGCTCTTCTCTCTTCCCTCCTCCCTAACTCGCTCCCACTCACCCACCTTCAGAAGTTTCAATGTGTGGGTCTCCCAGACATGTTTGTGTGTTGTGCAGGGAATCCTTTCTTTAATTATAGCTGTTTAAATTGTTGTAATTTCAAGGAGAGAGACCAGGGAAACCTCTCACTCAGCAATTCATTTGATGTCATCAGTATTTGCATTCTTGAAAGTGACTGGCTGGATCATATTTGTGTCTGTTCAATGGAGTGATTTTCCATGGTACATTATCAGACTTTGTAGTTGACAAGAGAGAAGTTTTGAGATGGTAGGAGGGAGAGAGGGACTAAAACCCTACCTGCCATGGAAACCTTTTGTGATTCTGCATAAAGCTGGGCCCAACCATTAGTGATGTGCCAGCTGCCTGGATAAAAGTACTCAATACAAGTGTATTGCATGAGCAGATTTTATCAACAATTTGTGTGATAATCCATTCTCTTCAATGCAAGAGGTGATTTAAAGAAGGAAACTTCCCCTGGAATCAGAGTGGAGTACTTTGGACAAAAAAAGCATGGGGAAGACCTCTCTTGCTGACTGAGTTTAGAATTATTGAAACAAATTGTAGAGCATGATTGAGAAATATAATTTCCTAAGAATGAAAAAAGAAAAAGTGTATTCCCAGAAACAGTCATGTTAATGAATTACATGTCTTCTAGATATCCCCTTTGGTCCAAAGTGTTTTGATCTTAAGATAACTGGCCCTTGTTCATTTTGGGGGCTGAGACTACAGGTCCGAGAAAGTGGAAATCTTAAGATTGGCCCAATCAAAGAGGAACATTAACAGTTTAAACACAGACCTTGAAAAGGATATGCAGAGAATAGATGAAGCAAATCAGGAACTTCTACTAAAAATTCATGAGAAAGAAGATGAGATTCGGAGGTGAGTGTTGGGATTTTGTAAGGGGAGCTCCCAGTCCAAAAGGAGGGAGGAAGAGTGATGAAGAGAAAAAACTGAATTTTCCAGCTTTCTCTAGAGACCTATGTCTTTATAGCAAAAACTTTCTTCTTCATTCCTTGGAATTTCTCTCTTATGTAAACCCTGAAATATGACAACTTTCAGACAGATTTCTAAAAGACTAGGTGACATTTACTTGAGCTGAAAAAACATTGGTTACTTGACTTGGGAAACAGGGGAATCTTACCTTTCCCACCTTTAAAGTGAATCTGATTTTAAGGATCCAGAAGAGACGGGTTCCAAACGCGATTTGTATTAATTATCATTGAAATACCCTTAAAACTGATATGTGTTTTTTCAGTTCCGAAACTGCCAGTTTCTCACAGTGTGTGCTTGTATCATCCAGGCTGGAAGGTGAGATCACTCAGACCAGAGACTTGGCAGAAGATGAGGAGTGGGAGAAGGAAAACTGTACCACACTGGAAAGGGAAAGAGCCTTGCAGGAGCTAGAAGAAGAAACAGCAAGACTCGTAAGCAAGAAGCTGGAAAGAGCCATTTGAAAAGTTTTATTCCTCACCTCATCAACTGTCAGATAAGCTAGTCCCACCTTTTTGCATTCAAAGAAGAGTCAACTCAAAAGTCATGGCAGAATGTATCCATGCATGGAAGGGGATGTGTGGTAGGCAGGGGGTTTTTGGTAACATTTAATATTGGTAGCCCTACATGTGGTCATCTCTATCCCAGGAAATTTGGTGTGTATATATTTGGATCACACCACATGTTTTTTCCTGACATCACGAAGTAAGATGGAGTTTCTGTAGGAAAATATCACTGGGGTGAAATGAAGAACCATCAGCTGAATGAAGGCAGATGGTGGTGTGCAGATGCACACTTACACTCTGCCTCTTTCAACAGGAAAGGAAGAATGAGGCCCTGGTCCACAATATAGAAGAACTTCAAAGAAAGGTAGGATAAGGCTCTGTGTTCCCTGGTGTCCCCATACCATTCCCAGTCATCAAAAAGAGTGGGAAATCATGATAGAGGAACCCACATGTTAGGGAGGCCTGTGCTGGGGTGGATACTGCTCCTGCTCCACTCTCCTGAGGCTGAGCTTCATGACCCACATACAGTGATTCTCCCTGGAAGCCTCACGTGAAAGCAGAGGGTGGGTATTCAGGGTCTTCAGTGATCTCATGGGTTCTTCATTCTAACACAAGGAAATTCATTCCAACAAACACTCTGTTGAAGTAATTTGACTGAAACCTTTGCAAGAGGTTAATTTTACTTTCAACACAGACTTTTAAAAAATAATTCCTAAGAATTCCATTTTCCTTGTCCAGGTATTCCCTATACCTCGACTCTAAATCAGAACACAGTGGGTTTTCTATGATATCTTACTTCCTGACCCATGCCTGCAACCCTGAGTGACCCAGAATAGGTTAGGGGTCCAAGGAAGTACTCCTGTCTTAAGGAGACTCTAGCTTTGGTGGCTATGAGTGAGAAGATGGAGATAGAATAAAGATGTTCCCGAGTATCCACCAAGGAACTATCTCCTGGTAGTTTTTATCAAGGCCAAGTTACTGGCCCCCACACATCAGAAAATGCCTTTGTCTTCTATATCTTTTAATTAGATGTATTTTTTACTTGAAATGTATTTTTTTGAAACCATAGCTTACAAGGAAATTACCTAAGGCAGCCAAGTATGAAAAAGTCAATCTAAAGGGAACACCAGAGGAGTCAAAGGTAAATGAAAAAAAAATTTTAAATGGGTTTGGGGTATATGACCAGGAAACAAGCCTTCACATGGAAACAATTGTCAAAGTTGGGATAAATTCTTTGTTGTTTTAGTTCAAGTCAGGCTTAAGCCTGAGACACTGACTGCTGAATTCTCCTCCGCCCTTAGCGAGAAATTTTACCCTGAAGCCATATATTTTGTTTTTTGTTCTCTTTCCCATCAGAAAAAGCACAACACAAATGCACAAATATTTATGTAATACTGGAGATAGCTGAAATCCCTACTTTAAATCCTGGCCCCAGCATTTAATGTGGTTGATGTATGAAGTTGGGCAATTTAATCAGTTCTTGCCATCCTCAATTTGAATACTGAAAGAAGTCATGTATATTAAAAAATTGTGTATATAAAATATTCTTTCCCTTTTTGAAGGACTGAAGTCTTGAAAAGTCACATAATTTTAAAGTAACTATTTAAAAGTATGAAGTGTATATATGAATTCATAGAGGCAGAGCTAAGATTTATAATTCTACTATGTTAGACAGATTACACACCTTGCCTATGATTCCAGTCTAGGAAGAATCTATTCAATGATTCACTCAAATATTTAGTGACCTCTATCTGCTAAGCACATCATCCAATGTTTAGCATTTCTCTGATGCTACAACCCATCTAATCAAAGATACAAAAATTTAAGATGTTTATTTTATTGAGAGGAGATAAAATTCTTAATACTTCCTGTACAAATAGTTTTTTCCTTGTCTTATCTGCTTCTCCTTAGCTTATTAAACCCACACTTAAGCCTATGTTGTATGTTTGAAGCCTCTGAAGATATGGACATACTGAAAATAGAATAGAAAATGAAACAACAAGGAATTACTCCCCTATCTTCTGTTGACCAAATTGGTGTCAAAGCCCCTCTCCCCACATACACACAAAACAAGAACTCCAAATCTACCAAGCAATCTTGCTTGGCCATGCTTATCCAGAAAATTTTTTTAAATATATTTTATCGATTATGATATTACAGTTGTCACAATTTTCCCTGTTGTCCCTCTCCACCAGATACCCACATTTCCTCCAGCAATCCCCCCACGTTGTTCATGTCCATGGGTTGTGCATACAAGTTCTTTATTTTCTCTGTTTCCTATACTATTCTTAACATCCCCTTATTTGGAACCTACCAATTATGCTTCTCAATCCCTGCACATTTTGCCTCATTTTATCCCTTCCCCCTCCCAACTGATAATGATCTTTATATCTATGATTCTGTTTTTGCTCTGCTTGTTTGCTTAGTATGTTTTTTAGATTCACTTGTTGATAGTTGTGAATTTATTGCCATTTTAATATTCATAGTTTTGAATAGAACATATTTTAAAAAGAACATATTCATCTTCTTTTTCTTAAATAAGTCCCTTTAACATTTCATGTAATAATGACTTGGTGATGATGAACTCCTTCAGCTTTGCCTTGTCTGGGAACCACTTTATCTGCCCTTCCATTCTAAATGATAGCTTTGTTGGATAGAGTTATCTAGGTTGTAGGTCCTTACTTTTCATCACTTTGAATACTTCTTGTCAGCCTCTTCTAGCCTACGAGGTTTCTTTTCATGAATCAGCTGACAGTCTTATGGGAACTCCTTTGGAGGTAACTCTCTGCTTTTCTCTTGAAGCCTTTAAGATTCTATCTTTATCTTTAACCTTTGGCATTTTAATTATGATGTGTCTTGATGTGGTCTTCTTTGGGTCCATCGTGTTTGAGATTCTCTGTGCTACCTGAACTTTATATCTAGTTTGTTCACCAAATTAGGGAAGTTGTCTCTCATTATCTTTTTCAAATAAATTTTGAATTTCTTGCTCTTCTCCTCCTTCTTCTAGAACCCTGTGATTTGGATGTTGGTACATTTGGAGATGTCCCAGAGGCTTCTTAGACAATCCTCATTTTTTTAATTCTTTTTTCTTCTTGTTGTTCTGATTGAATGTTTATTTTTTCCTTACATTGTAAATCATTGATTTGATTCTCAGCTTCACCCTCTCCACTGTTGGTTCCCTGTAGATTTTTCTTTATTTCATTTACTGTAACCTTCATTTATTTCTGGGTCTTTTTTATGTTGTTGCCATACTCAATGAGTTCTTTGAGCATCCTGATAACCAGTGTTTTGAACTCTGCATCTGATAGCTTTGTTACCTCTGTTTCAGTTAGTTCTTTTTCTGGGGTTATATTCTGTTATTTCATTTGGACCATATTTCTTTGCTCAATTCAGCAGCCTCCCTGTGTTTGTTCCTGTGTATTAAGTGGAGCGACTTGACCCCCTGTCTTGGCAGCATGAGCTATTGTAGAAAAGGCACCTGTAAATTGTGTGGGGTGGATCCTTAGGTAATCGCCAAAGTGGGACAATCTGTTGCACTATTTTGTGGCTCTGTGTCAGGGGAGGGCTTGGAGAGGGAACAGTACAGTTGCCTGGCTTCTAGAGGTTTGCCCAGCACTTGCCTTGTTTCCAGTCACTTCTCTTATTCCTTGTATGTGACTGGCACCCTTCCAGCCCTTGCCATCATGCTGAATCCCAGAGGGGGTATGTTCTAAGTCCATGCACGCCCCTTAAGCAGAGTTTCCTGAAAATCTGACAGTTTCTTCTGCTACTCCAACCCCCACTAGTTTTTACAGCCAGAAGTCATGGGAATTTATCTTCTGGTACTGGAACCCTGGACAGTGTGGTCTGGCCTTCCGCTGGGATCATTTGCTGCCAAGGTATCCTTCCCGATTTTTATCCACCACACATGAATATGGGACAGCCTGATCCACTGCCACCACCTATCTGTACCACACCACAACTCCATGTATCTCCATACCTCTCCTGTGTCTGCATCCCTCCTACCTCTCTGGATGAATATGGCTTCTTTAAATCCTTGGTTGTCAGACTTCCATACAGCTCAATTTTCTGACAGTTCTGGGTGTCATTTGTTTTGAGGCAGTGTGTTCACCTACACCTCCATCTTACACAGAAATCTTATCTAGGGAACTTTCTATCAGGAAGAAATTGAAGCTAAGACTAGACAGGATTATGAAGCCCTTTGACTATTTTTGTCAGGAGTTTTTCTTCCCTCTCCCCAGAACAAGTTTATCTGGCAGTAACCTGGCCAGAATCTAGTGGTGACACTTTAAGTCTGGCTATGCTGGCTGTGTCAGGTGACGTGAGCTGATAGACAATAGATAGAGAGTTCCAGGCATTGTCAGAACAATGGCTATTATTTTCTTGGCAGTGATTAACCCAATCCTAAAGAGTTCTAGAGTATTATTAACCATTTGAGTCATTCCCTTTTGTCCACCTATATTCTGGAATTATCAGGTGATATCTCTAATTCTATAAAATATGCAGCATTCCTATTGCTTCTGTTTCTCTTGCATGAGGGGATCAGTTCAGCACTTGCTTCAACTCCTTGTGACTTAGACCATTGTCTTCAAAATATAGCCCTTAGCACATTTGGCTATCTGGACCTGGCTGGAGGGGAAAGGAACTGTTGGAAGAGTCCAAATATGAAATAATGCTACTTAGGTGAAAGTGGGAACAACAGCCTTGAAAATGGAAGGAGGGGAAGATGCAGTCAGGTCTACTCTATCTACAGAATGTAACCCAAATTCATCTGTTTCTCTCTATGTACTACTACTACTACTTCCCTTTTGCAAGGTACCATAACCCCTCATCTGGACACTGAAGTAGCCTCCTAACTCTACTCTTACTTTTAAACATTAAACTTTCCACACTTAGAAAAGCCCTCTTTAAAAACACAAATCAGGTCATGCCATTACTTCTTCAAGCTCTTTCATGACTTCTCACTGTAATTAGAATAAAGAAACAAACTCTTTCTAGAAACTATAAGGCCCCACAATATCTCATCCATGTCTAATATTTTTCACCTAATTTTCTTCTTACCAGTCTCCCCTATGTTCCAATCATACAATAACTTATCCATACACACCAGATTTTGCTACTGCACAGTCATGGCCTTTGCTGTAACTTTTGCATTGCAGGTATTTCTTCCAGATATCCATTTTTCTAATATTTATCCCTTAGACATCAGCTCAAATATCATCACATACACAATAGCTCTTATTCCATCACTCACTTTCATCACATTACTCTGTTTTCATTTCCTTCACAGCATTTATCATTATCACGTTGACTTATTTATGGCCCCCAGCTAGAACGTCAGCCATGTGAGGCAGGGAGCCTATCAATCCTGTTACCACTGTATCCTTAGTGCCCACTAGCTCCTTCCTTGTTATTCCAGCTTAGTGGCCAACATAAAATAGGCTTTCATCAAATATTTAGGGAAGGTAAAGAGAGAAGAGGAATACAGGGAGAGAGAATAGAGTGAGCAATGAATACATAAAAGGAAAAGGAAGAGTGAATTTTTTCAAGCTTGATGTTTTTCCTAAGAGAAAAGGCTAAGAAGGAAGCAAGAATTGAAGTTTAGGGGTAAAGCACTGATGAATGGGAAAAGGTTGGAAGTATAGAAAAGCAGGCCCACCAGGCAGCTGCGAAGGATGCTGGATGGTTTGGCTCTTCCATCAAAAAGACATCTGAAATCATGCCTGATATCCTCCAGTCATCCATAAGACAACCTCCAGACAGTATTTCAGAGTGGAATCCTGTACGGTTTTCACTTTGTTGAGTTACCAATCTCTGTTCCCTTCTACAGCTCAAGATACAAAAGCTGGAAGCTTCCTGTGCTGAACAAGAGAAGGAGCTGAACAAGGTAACAAAGTAAACACTACTTCTCCCAAAGAAAGAGAAACTAAATCCTCAACCAAACCATCTAATACATTCCTCCAGTGACTGAATTTTAAGGTTCCAGATTCAGACCATTATAGGGCCAGGGAGGAGATAAAGAGAAAAATGATGAATACAGTCCCCTGGGTTTACTTCCCTTTGACCTTTTTACAGGGTGCATTCCATAATCTATAAGCCCAACAAATTAGTATGCATTCTTCTCCCAACTTTTCCCAAATTATCTCCCATTGGGATGATAAAATACTGCTTGTTTATCCTCAAAAAAAGGAAATGAGTTCATATGTACAGCAAAAACCAATTTAGAACAATTAGAAAACTACATTTAGGATCTGGGATGTAGAAGGAAACAAGTATACTGTTATCTATATATCAGTTTACTGAGAAATTTAAGGCTAAATTTTTGCTTCTCAGGTAATGGAAGACTTTGCATTTGTGGCCCAGCTCTGTGAAGATCAGGCCCTCTGCATAAAGGTACAGCTTCTAAGTCAAGGGACAGCAAAGGGTGTGTTAAGGTACCGGCCTTTCAAAGAATACAGTCTGGAACAATTGTAACTCTTCAAGGTGGTACTACCAAAGGACTTCAGGGTCTTTGAAACCCTACCACCAATATCATTCTATTACTGCCCTGGTCTCCCAACCTCTGTGCTCTTAAATTACTAATGAGCACTTTTCTTATTTATTTATAATCCCTATTTCCCTAGGGACCTGCCCAATAGTGAAGTGTAGTGAGAGATCAATAGCGGTGGGGTGGAGGGCTAGGGAAGGAGATAAAGTGGCAGTGGGAATACCAAACATTCATGGTACCATGTAATAATACATGCTTACTAGGAGTAGAAAAAGCATAAAGCTTCTGATCAGTAACTGTGATTTATTTTCTTTCTCTTTGAAGAAGTACCAAGAAACTTTAAGGAAGATAGAAGAAGAATTAGAGATTCGGTTCCTTGAGAAAGAAGTGTGAGCTTTGGCAAACAAAGGAACATCCTGGTTTTAGTGGTAACTCCACCTCAGCCTGGGTCAGAGCAAACATTTCTCTGACCAATTCCCAGTTGGAATTGAGTGAGCCCCCACGCCACATGGCTTTCCCCTGTTAGGATCTGGCTGACCCCCTTCAGACCACACCAACTTTAAAGGGCAGGTCCTTCTCCCATTCTTCTTAAAAGACTCGAGAAACACATCTCCCTTCATAATTTTATCATATTATTAATTATTCAAGTTTATATCAAGGCCAAGAACATATGCTTTTAAAAGAGTTATTGGTTAGTCACCTTTCATAGGAGGACATTACTTATATATCACAGAAAATGCCTTAAAACTTAATACCATCCTTACTTCCCCCAAACATATGAGAACTGAACCGTATGGGATAAAAGTGAAACTAATCTCTAGACACAGATTAAAGCTATCATAGCATAAAATTCAAGCTATATTAAACTATATAGATTAAAACTTAGAAATGATAAATAAGAGTCTAAATGGTGAGAAACCAAAACCAAAATCCTTACTTCCATTTCTGGACCTTCTTTGGAAGTCAAATATAAATTCAATTAAGTATTTCTATTTATTAAATATTTGGGGCTCTTGGGAATCAAGTGAAAGAGACCCAAACAGCATGCAGCCTTTACCTAGGCCAAGTACACACTGTGGCCGGGGGGCGAGGACACTAGGACTAGGGGTGCTAGGACTAAAGGACACCTTCAAGTCTCCCTAAATTCTTCCTGAGCAGTAGGTATGGCTTGACTGCTAAGCTAAGATCCTAGAGCAGGACTGCCCAATAGAACTTTCTCTGCTAACCAATAGGTAGCAACTAGCCACCAACTGAGTTGTAACAGAGGAACTGATTATTTTTCATGTTAATTAAGTTAAATGTAAATATCTACATGTACTCACTAGCTATAATGGTGGACAGCATAGCTTTAGATTCTAAAACTGTTTTTAAATAACCAGCTCATAATATGAATATTTGAGAGTACTTATTCAGTCCCTATTTTGGTTCTTTTCCCCCAGATCAAAAGTCTTGAGCATGAACTCTGAGAGAAAAGATTTTAAACACCAAAATAATAAGGTAAGCACTCCACCCCATCCTCAGTGTCTCTCAGTGCCAATGCCTTTCAAAGGAGTTTCCCAAATACTACAAGCCAGCAAACATACACCAATCTTCCCATGTGCACTTTCCAAGAACAGTACCAGGCATAATTCCAAAGCATTCTAAACGTAAACAAGCAAAGAAGATGCCAAGGAACAATTGTTTTCACTCTTTTTATAGACACACAAATGACATGTTCTCAAAAAACATAGCCTAAGACCTCAGAGAATTCAGAATGGAAGTAAGAAGGAACATTCAACTGAGAGTACACTCTGTGGACAGAAGGCCAATGCCTCCCACCTCTAACAATCACAGTACTCTTCCCTGATGAGCCCAACACAGTCCTGAATCTTCCACAACACAGACCACCAGGCATCTCTCACCATCTAATCAGAGTTGGTATGTGAATCAAAACATAGGAAGTCATTGCTGCTTTATGATTCAGCTTTAGTGTCTATTCTTATTTAATATCATGATGCCACCAGAACACATGCAAAGGGATGGAAAGGAAAGAAATAGAATTGGATATGAAGCACCAGGCCTCTTGGCCCATGTGGCATCTAGTAGCAGCAAGCACATAAAACTAAAAGATAAATTTTTGTCAGGCTTTGTCTTCATAATTTATATTGTCTTTAGAGCCAAGGTTAGCATTCCCCAGAAATTTTATGTTGTTGAGATAATGTAGCCTTTATATTCTCAGAAAAGAAGCAAGAATCAATAATTAACCATTGATTGTCCTTGGAGTCATCAGATGTTTGGATGTTTGTTAGGCAGTGTTCACATCCAGTGTTCACAGTGGCCATGGTTCCCATTGTTCTGAACAGGTTATTCTGGCCCCAAGATTGTGTATCTATTCAGCAAATAAACAATTTCTGAAATTAACCCCTCTAGAACTAAACTTGGCATGCTCCCTGATGTGTCCCATCATCTACCTGCAGTGGCTCATCAAAGTACTCCCTCAGACTACCTGCCAGAGGACAAACAGAGCTGTCTTTATGAAGATTATCAATCCCATGATGGTTCTATGACCTATGATGTTTGAGCAATCGTTATAGAGAGGCTACCTGAGCAGCCCACTGGCTGGCATGCCACTTAATCTCACTCAAGCTATAGAACCAAATTTGTAATCCAGAAAGTTTCCCATTCTAATTCCATGAGCCTTACTTCCACAATTTTAAATGACTATAACTCCTCTTCTTTTTTTTAATCTCACAAGTTAAAAGAAAAATGAAATAACTAAAAACATATTTTAGAAAAGTGATCCCACAGAAATCCAGGATATATCCTCACCTTTACATTTTTTAACTTTTTAAGCTTATCCCTTTGAATAAGTTTGTATGGTTTTCATAGCTTGTAAACCTCTCTAAGGATTACTAGCTAAGGAGAAGGTAAAAGTGTACTTGAGAGAGCCCAGAATCAGAATAGCTGGTCTTCAGGCGCCCTGACCTCCGGCAACATACTTTACCTTTCTATGACTTCATTTATTCCTATCAGTACATTAAAAAGGTTGCATAAAATTTTATACATATATACTTATCTTTGAAAATTTTACCTTTTATACATATAAAAATACATGTGATATTATCTAAATATAACATTTAACTAATGGTTCACTGAATATTATTTGACAGTGATGATGGCTTCCACAAATTGCTAATTTATCAATGTCCCATCTTCTTCTCTCAGGTTAAGTCTCTCCAAAATAAAGGAATATGGGTCTGTAAAAAGTAAGTAAATATCTTTCAGTATACTTTCTTGGGGTCATGCATAGCCATCTGGGCAGAAAGCAAAGTGTAGATAAGGAGAACCTTGTACACACACAGAGTCAGCAAACTAATGTCATTAATGACTACGTTTTTCAGTTCTAAAATTATGGCCACATTGTTCAAAGGCAATTATTAATCTCAGCTTTCCAATATTAAAAGTCAATGGTCTAATAGCAATAAGAAACAAGAATCATATCATCCAAAACAAATGTGGTAAATCTTACACTCATTCCCCTTTTCCTTTAACAATTTGTATTAGCTAATGTATCTGGCTCCCTAGTAACTTCAGTGTATTGGAAATAGGGAGATCTTTTTGTGGTTCATAAGCATGATGACTGGGTTTTTGTGCTATTTTTGTGTGATATTCCTCTCCCAAACTTTGTTACAGTGTTAGTACATATCCTTCTGACATGAAAAAATATGTGTAGAAATGGGGAGATAACTTCTAAATCTGTCTATACCACTGCCGAACAGCAGATAAAAGAGAGAGAAAAATGACTGTGAAAAGGAGATAGCACCTAACATCATCTGGCACATAATAACTGCTCAAAAATACTTGTTAAATTAAATAAGGACTCAAGATTCAAACAACTGAGAAGATATTATCGCTGAAGGATCCACTGTGATAGCGAAGTAAAATTGGTATTCGTGAAGCTCCTGCATTTTCAAGAAAAGGTCAAATTATGTTCAATATAATCTGTTTAAGAAGGCATAGAGAAACATATATTCAAAGTAGTATGAAAAAGGATTTAGAAAGAGTTCTATCAAAATGGTTAACATAAAATTAAAGGTCAGCTCCAATTTTCTGGAAATTTTGTTTAAGGGGAATATCCCTTCATACCAGGTAAGTAAAGTAATATTTGTTTTGATATTTCTAAGTATAAAATTCCCAGAACAACTAGCAGAATTTTCCTTAAAACTCCAAGTCTGTCTTTAACATGTACTTTAATACTAGTGCCCAGCATGGAATTGCCTATGTGGGATCCCAGAATAAGAACTGTGTGCCTGCAAAGAGTTGGTACCTGGAAAGAACCTCACCACATCCTGCAAGTCTAGTTTATCACAACAACCTACAAATGTTTTTCCTCATATTCTGCTCCAACATCCTGTGGGGGCACTGGTATATTGGGTACTGACTCAAGAGATAAGAAAACTAGAACATTCCTAGGATTTTCCCTGGAAATGTCAACCCACAGATGTCATCTCAAAACCTTCTCATGGATATCATGCCCAGCTTCAAGGAGAGTGGTGGGAAGAGGTTTGTAAAGGGCTTCTGATCCCAATTCTGATCAAGATGCTGTACTAGAAAGGATCCTGGCTCCTGTCACCAAGATTAACTCTACCAGAAAACTTTAAAAACAGGAGTCGGGGGAGAAGGGGCTGTTTTTGACTGGTGAGGGCAGGTGGGTAGTGAATTTGTCCTGGGGCAGAAGGCAGCCCAGCACAGCTGGATAAGGGTAATATAGGAAAAAGAAAGAAATTTACAGGGAAATTTATAAAATTTTATTAGGAAATTTTAAAGGTAACATAAATGAAAGAAGAAAATACCATAGTCATGGGCAGGAAGCCTTAATATCATAAATATATCAACTGTCTCCAAATGATTAAGTGAGTCAATTAAATTCCATACTCCCCAAAAGATTTTTCATGTAATTGAATACAATGATTCTAAAAAACATTGTATGTGAGACTAGAAGTCTCACATACAGTATTGTGATGGTGGAGGTGGAGGTAAACATGTCTCACCTCTGTGCACAACTATAGCAAAAATACACAGCCTACAAAACAAATATCACCTAGAATTGTCGGAAAATCAAGCTGTGTCGAAGTCTAACAACCAAGGATCTAAAGAAGCTACATTTTTCCAGATGTGTAGGGGAGGCAGAGATGTGGAAAGGGGCAGTCCCACATACACACGTATTAGACAAAAGTGAGGAATACCTCAAGAGCAAAGGATCCCAGCCCCAGTCCAGTCCACCCAGCCCGGTGTTCTAGCACCAGAAAGATTAGTATCCATAACTTCTGACTGTGAAAACAGCAGGACAAACTGCCAGATTCTCAAGAGACTCTTCTTAAAGAGCCTCAATGGACTTAGGACTCATGCAGACCCACCCCCACACCGCCCCCCGCTCTGGAATTCAACACCAGGACAATGGCTGGAAGGGCACCAGTGGCATATGGGGAGAAAGTGAAGTGCGAGACATATGGGGAGACAGCTTCTTCCAGAGCAAAACTCCAGAGCCCAGGAAACAGCATTGTCCCCTCTGAGAGCCCCCCCCACACACACACAGAGCAACAAAGCAGTGACATGGGTTGCCCTACTCTGGTCATTACCTAAAGCTCCAGCCCATACAACTTAACAGGTATGCTTTTCTATAATAGGCCACACTAAGACAGGGAGTCAAAGAAGCTCTTCCTAACACACCAAAACAAATACAGTGAGGCTGTCAAAATGAGAAGACAAAGAATTATGGCCCAAATGAAAGAACAGAACACAACAATTAAATAAAATGGAGATAAGGTACCTATCAGATGCACGGTTCAAAACATTGGTTATCAGGATGCTCCAGGAACTCTTTGGGTACTTCAATGGTATAAAAAAGACCCAGGCAGAAATGATGGTTACATTAAGTGAAATAAAGAAAAATCTACAAGGAACCAACAATGGAGAGGATGAAGTCAAGAATCAAATCAATGATTAGGAACACAAGGAAGGAAAAAGCATCCAAACAGAACAGCAGGAAGAAAAAAGAATTCAAAAAAATGAGGTGAGGTTAAGGAGCCTCTGGGACATTTTTAAATATACCAAAATCCAAATAATAGGGGTGCCAGAAGGAGAAGAGGAAGAGCAAGTAATTCAAAACTTATTTGAAAAAGTAATGGAAGAAAACTTTCCTAATTTGGTGAAGAAAAGAGACATACAAGTCCAGGAAGCATAGAGGGTCCCAAACAAGATGAACCCAAAAAGGACCACGTCAAGATATATCATAATTAAAATGCCAAGGTTAAAGCTAAAGACAATCTTAAAAGTATCAAGAGAAAAGCAGAAAGTTACCTACAAACAGTTCCCATAAGACTATCAGCTGATTTCTCAAAAGAAACTTTACAGGCTAGAAGGGACTAGAAAGAAGCATTCAAAGTGATAAAAACAAGAACCTACAACCAAGATTACTCTATCCAGCAAAGCTAACGTTTAGAATTGAAGGGCAGATAAAGTGCTTCCCAGACAAAGTAAAACTAAAGGAGTTCATCATCACCAAGCCATTATTATATGAAATGCTAAAGGGAATTACATAAAAAAGAAAATCAAAACAATGAACATTAAAGTGGCAATAAATTCACAACTATCAATAATTGAATCTAAATAACAAACTACAAGGAGAACAGGAATAGAATTATAGATATGGAGATCATGTAGAGGGATATCAATTGGGAGGGGAAGAGGGGGAACGGGGGCAGGGGAAGGCAAAGGAATTAAGTAGCACAATTTGGTAGGTACAATATAGACCCATGGCCCATGGACATATACTGAGAAGGGATTGCTGGTTGGAATGGGCATATCAGGTGGAGGGGGGCTAAGAGGAACAACTGGGAGAACTGTAATAGCATAATCAATAAAATATACTTTTTAGAAAAAGAAAAAATAAAATAAAATTAAGCAGTAGGAAAATAATGTTGTGCATAAAAGAGTAAAGGATCAAAAATAAACTGGACAACTTTAAAGAAGACCAAGGAGTGGGGAGTATGCCCTTCCAGATATCAGGACTTTCTATGAAGCTACAGTAATTATGCTAGTGTGGCATCATCACAGGAATTAGAAAACCGACCCATGAAATAGAACAAAAAGTTCAGAAACAGTGCATATGTTGAATTTTGATAAGTGACAATGACTGTATATCAGAGGGGAAAGAATGAATTTTTCAGTAAATATCATGAGGAGGAAATGGTTATCCAGATCTTTTAAAAATAAGATTAGGTTACTACCATATAGTATATACAAAAGCAAGCCCTGATGTGCTGAGGACATAGATATCAAAAAATGGGCATTAATTATCTACTATCACCTAAAAAAAATTATTCCAAAGCTTAGCAGCTTCAAACAACAAACATTTATTATTTCAGTTTCTATGGGTCAGGAATTTGTGAATCACTTAGCTGGGTGGTTCTAGCTCAGGGTTTTTTATGAGGTTACAGTTGGGATGTTGGTCAAAGTTACGGTCATTGGAAGGTTAGGCTGGGGACAGAGGATCTATGTGTAAGGTAGTTTATACACACATCCAGTAAATTTTGTTAGTTATTGACAAGAGGTCTTAGTTGCTCATTGCATAGACCTCTCCACAGGACTGTGTGTTCCTCCTAACAGTAAGAAGGAAGCTGTGATGCCTTAAGTATATAGTCTAGAAAGTCACACACTGTCACTTCCTCAATATTTTATTCTTTTGAAGCAAGTCACTAAGTCCAATCCACTCTCTAATGAAGGGGAATCTCTTAAAGGAAGAAGTATCATAGAATTTGTGTACGTATTTTTAAACTACCATAAACTCTTAATAGAAAATAGTAGCTTTGGCCTTTGGATAGGACATGATTTTTTTAACAAAGCACACAAAGTATTGACTCTAATTAAAGAAAGGGTGACAAACTAGACTTTATTAAAATTACTAACTTGTTCTTTCACAGTTTAGAGCAAGTGAAAGTTATAAAATAGAAGGAAGATACTAAAATGCACACAGTGGAAAAGGATTAATATCACATATAAAGATCTCCTACATTTAATAAGAAAGGCCAAACAACCTAGCAGATAAGTGAGCAAGAGGAAATACATAAGACCAATAAACCTATGAATGGATGTTCAGCATTATTGTTTGTCAGGAAAATGAAAGCCAAGGCCATAATGAGACACTACTTTACATGCAATCTGATGGGCCACATTTTAAACATTAGAGCAAATCAAGTGTTGGAGAGGATGCAGAATCACAGAAATGTAGGCCAATGATGTATAATTCGATATCACTACTGTGTAAAATAATTTTCAGAAACAAAAATAAAAATAAAACAGAAAATAAAGGAGCAAGATCATTGCAGACAGTGATAGGTGCTAGAAGAAAATAAAACCCAGTGGTAGGAGAGAGAGTAGCCAGCCGGTAGGCCAGCATAGGGGAAGGAGCTGCCTTTGTACGGGGTGTTGGGAAGAGAGATAACAATGGGTGGAAGACATCTGAATACCAAGAAGCAGCCTGACGTGCATTTACATTTGACTTACTATTTTGATCCTGGTTTTCTAACCTCTGGTTAACAGTTTGTTGGCTTTCTCTTTTCAGGATTTTCCGATACTTCTTTTTCATCACCCTGTTTTTCATCAGACTGCTGGGCTACCTGTTCTTCCATATAAGTTTTATAAATCCAGATGTCCTCATCAACATACTGCCCATGATACTAAGCAGGGGCATCCTGTGGAAGCTAAGATGCTTCCTCTTCCCATCTCTCACGCTCGAGGCAGAGGACATGTTACCTCACTGATCCCCAAGAAATATCCTTGAGCAAAAGAAACAAGTGGTGTCAGTCTGGGAGATGGCAGAGCTTGTGGAGGGAAAAGGTTTTCTTCAGTTTTCCCCTTGAGGTTTGCCTACTTGATTATCTTCCTTCCCCATACTGTCTTTCCAAGATTGACTTGCCCAGTAAAGAGTTCTGTCAACAGATTTCTGTGGCTATATGGACAAGCTAAAGAGTATTAGACAGTACACAAAACTAGATCATTTCTAGAATAATGTCATAGATGCTAAGCAAAGTTAAAATTTATCAATTCTTCTCTTGAACCTTAATCTAAGAAACTGGACCCCTGCAATGCAGAAGATTGCTCACTACTTACGTTAGAACTCTTTGGTTGCAAGTTACCTTAGCTTAAGCTAATTTATTAATTTATAGCAAAAAGTATTAATGGCTCATGAAACTAAAAATAAAAGGTTCAGACATGGCCAAATCCACAAACCTCAAAGCAATGTCATTTGGTTTCATCTCCCTCTTCTCTATTTGAATGGGCATTCTCCTCTTGGTGATGATGTGTTCAAGAAGGTGGGAAGGAGAGACAGATATATCACATGCATACCAGATAAGTTCTACAATGGAAAAAGAGGATAGAGTGATTCCCCATGCCTCTGTCCAATAGGTGACGTCAGAGCTGTGGACTACGTTAGTCTGAAAAGGAAAGTGGCATACCAAGCAAATCAAGTGTTGAAGGTTACTCAGTTTACTAAGTAAACTGACCCTATGTCAGCAAAGCTATTCTTAACTGAAAGGCTAAAAGGACATGATACCTTAGATGAATATTTTAAATAGAAGTAACCAAATAGAAGTACCAAAAAATTAAGCAACTTTCTTAATCTGCTAAACTGCATGTAGCGGGTTAATTCTTAACCCCAAGCCTCAGAGAAAACCAAAGTCTTTTCTCCTTGCAATTACTAGACACAAACACCTGTAGTCTGACAATACAAATAACTGTGAGTTATTTACCCAGCACCCTAAATGGAAATTCCTTCCACCATGTCAGTAAGATCTGCAATGCACACACCATTTATTCCTGCAATGAATGGCAGCAGAATTCTGGGATCCAGTGGAAGCTGGCAGTTGCTCCCCATGGGGTGGTCAATACTGCATGAAACTAGACTTTATTCTTGGCAGAAGGGAAAGATAAGTTGTGACCAGTTTCCACTTATCAGAATTCTGCTCCATGACAGGGCAAAAAATGTATACCCTCTAAACTCATAATTTTGAAACTTGGAATCATGAAAGAAAAGGTATTTTCACACGTTGTAGTTTCAGAGTTATTTAAGAAAATTTTTTTAAATTTTCTTTCATATGTATTTCATTATTCATCTCTATATTTTCTCTGCTGTAGCTAGGTGGAGTAATTCTGAGGAAACAGCTCAAAAGTTATTATAGAAAAGGCAAATCCTACTGCAGGCTTAGAATACTCAGATTCCCCTTTTTGTTGCTTAAAGTAAAGGTAAATGTTGACTATGGTTTGGGGTCATACCCAGAGTAAAGTAGTTGAAAGTGAAAATTCAGAGCACAGATGTCAGCTCAGAGGTCAGGAGAGCCAGCAATAAAAAGTAAAAAGATAAAAAAAAAATAAATAAGTAAAAAGTTAGCTCAGGATTGAGCACCAGCCTGCAAACCAAAAGGTTGCTGGTCCAATTCCCAGTCAGGTCACATGCCTGGTTTGCAGGCCAGGTCCCCCGTTGGGGGAGTGTGAGAGGCAACCAACCCATGCTTCTCTCCCTCTCTTTCTGACTTCCCTTCCTCTCTCTCTAAAATACATACATAAATATATAAATAAAATCTTTTTAAAAAACTGTTCCCAGAAGGTAGAGAAAGTTAACAAAACAGTTTCCACCATGTTAACATCATTTCTGTAGAAAAAGATTCAGTGGCCCTTGAAAATAAAAGATGAGAAAAAGAAGATAACTGTGGTATTTTAGATGGTTTCATAAAAAGAAGAGGGCGGGGAAAGGAATAGAAAGAACAAAGGAGAATATGTTGATCCCTTGCTGTTGTAAACTTTGACAACAAACTACTGTTTTCTATGACAGCTTCCTTAAAATGGTTTAAAATTTTTAATTTTATAATACTGAGAAGCAGAGGTCTTCTAAAAGCATGGTTCAACGGTTAGAATCGCCATTTCAAAATTTCTTGGAGCTTCCAGGGTGGTGACGTGTGAGGATGTGCAGGGAGTGGTGTGCTCAGAGGAGCATGGAAACCTCTGGCCCCTTCCTCCATGCCTTGCCCTACGCACCTCTTCCATCTTGCTGTTCCTGAGTTATATCTTTTATAATAACCCGGTAATCTAGTAAAAAAATTAAATTATTTCTGCTAAGCAGCAAAACTAATAGAAGTTCTTCTGTGTTTACGGTGAGAACTGCGAGGGGCGCGTTCATATGCAGCCCGGGTCAGAGCCTGCCTAGAAACCAGGGTAGGGGAGGTGAACAGCAGTTGGCGGGGCGGTCTTACTTCTGTTGAGTATTTGCTGCTGGAACGGACAGTAGGTACCAGCCGTAGGCCTCACAGTGTCTCGATGGTTGCAGACAACGGAGGAGCTTGCTTCCCTCATGATTTGACCAAGGTTGCATGGTTCCCTCAGGAACAGTAGAGGGCGCTGTTTCCTGATTCCTGCAGCATCCAGCTATTTCTTTACCTTACACTCACGCTAGATGCAAACTAGATTGAGGAAGGTCCGTGATAAGGGCAAACCTGTCCCAGTTTCTTCACAGGTTCCTAGACCAGAGAGTTATGAACATCAAGAGCACAGACGATATACGTAGTACCCTTTCCTGAGAGCTGAGTCACTACCTACTATTATAACCTGACTCAAATCTTCAAAATGCACCCTCAGTAGATTTCCTTACCTACTCTCTCTCCTTTTTTTACCTGCGTTCATCTTGAAGCAGGACTCCACACTTTGATAAACTCCCAAAATAAACCTCACTCCTCAGTGGTAAATACATTAAGTTTTATAAATATATAAACTTAAGATTCATGAAGACAGAAGAAAAGGATGCATGTTGCTCCTCGCTTTGCAGAAACTGAATCAAATTCCCTCTTGGCAATGTTTACTTTTACTTTTCAAAGTCCTCCCTCCTCCTGACTCTTTAAACAATCTACCTTCTACTTCCTCCACACAGGTTTTTAAAAAATTGCTGCCCAGAACTATTCAGCTCTCCTTCTCATTATGTTTTCCACACAACAAAATTAAAGTGTAGGAGTAACCTGTAAAGTGAACTGAGTTCTTTCTACCACACACACTAAGATGCCTCAGCAGATCCAGAAAGAACACAGCCTGAGTTGGCTGTGGCACTCAACCATCCCCTTTTACAAAAGAAATGATATCAATGATCATAAATTCCGTTCATTGAGCTCTTCTGACGTATAAGGCACTTCAGTGTTGCACTTGCATTATCATATTAAAACAAGCTTACAAGGTATATATTATCATGCACAGTTTACAAACAAGGAAGCTGGTTCTGATAGCAAATAAAACAACTAAAGTTCTGAGTTGAAGTAACCTAGATCCATGCCTATGTCTGGCTCCAAAGCTTGGCCTGTAAAGCTCTGATTGTTGGTAGCAGGTGTTGATCAGACTTTTGACCAGGGAGAGCATGGGGCATAGTCCAGAGTGTTGGGATGTTCGCCCACCTGTGAAGGGGGAGATCCCAGCCATGGGTACACTTACAGAAGAATTGGGCAACAGGGAGACTCTCAAACAAATCATAGACTCATAGCATTGGCAGGGAATTTAGGGATTGCTCATTCAAGCCCAGTGAGGTACTTATTCTTCCCCAAGATCACTCAACTAGTTAGTAACAGAATCAGAATAAGAACCTGGTCTCTTGAGTCCCTTCCCAGTGGTCCTTCCACTAAAATAGCCTTTCCCGACTATTTAGGTGGGGCACTAACATAATGGAGATTTCGTTGCATTTGTTATTTAAAACCGAAATCAACTTTACCCTGCTGTCTTTTAAGGTAAATATATGTAATTCTTACTTCTGGGGAAATAAACCTCCATATTTCTCCCCCTGCTCCTATGGAAACTAACAGGAAGGGCAAAAGAAGAAAGGGTGACAGTTGGAACACATCCACCTTTATTTAGCAGAGCACATTAATAAATCTTCAATTATGCAAAGTATGAATTGTGGAGGAGTGGTAAGTGCTGGAGCTGAACTGCTCTTTATAATCACAATATACAAGGAACTTTTGTCACATATGGGAGAAGCAGCAAGAGAGAGAGCTGAGCAACATGATGAGACTGAAGTGCAAGTTGGCAGAAATGAACAAGGGACTTTCAGAAGACCAGGAAAGCTAATATTCAAATTTATTTCATTTTCTAAGTGGTGCTGCAACGTGTGCTCCCACACACCTACTTCTCTCTCCAGTAAAATCTTCTGCATGTAGTTGAAGATATTTTTGCCTCTACAAGTTGTTTTTGGTCGACTTATAAGTGAATTTTGGGAGAACAGAAAGGGTTATATCTCAAGTTTGAATCAATGCTGGATCGGAGATGTTTATACATTGTAGAATGGAGAAATAACTAGGAGAAAAGATTTGCAGAAATTCTCGGGGAAAGGAGTAAAAACAAACTGGGGTGTGGAGGGTGGCAGGAAAGGCAATCTCAATGAGTATCAAAGAGTGGGTGGCTGCTGGTGACATCTAGATTATAGAAGAAACTTCTATGTCATTCTCTTCCTTCCTCTTAGTTCTCACCCAAAGAATCACCCAAAGTCAAGGAGTCTTTCCCCTCTGATTTCTTCTGGGAATTTTATGGTTCCAGGTCTTACATAAATGTTTTTTAGTTGATTTTTGTATGTGGTATGCGATCAAGGTCCCAATTCATTCTTTTGCGTCTGGATATCTAGTTTTCCCAAAACCATTTATTTAAGAGACTGTTTTTCCCCATTGTGTATTCTTGAGGCCTTTGTCAAAAATTAGTTGTCCATATATGCATAGGTTTCATTCTGGGCTCTCTGTTT